TCAGTCTAAAGACCGATGAGAGTAGAATGTCAAGCCTTTTGACAAGACAGTCTTCCGATATGTATTCGTTCGGTAATAACAAAGGAAAGCGTGTAGCATCTGCAATTCAGATTATTATTTCTATTCAAATCGCAGAAGAAATGAAAGGACAAAAGGCTGTGAGAGCAACTAGGATGGAAACGGTCTCTGCAAGTGGTTAAACGGACATTGTGATAGTGCCCATGACTTTTTCTCCATCAACGTCAAAGGCTCTGATGGAGTGAGAAAAATCCGTACATGAATTTTGTAGCTAGATACATGTGAGGCACAGTTTAGAAAGCGACAAACATAGGAGTTAAGAAGAGTGTTACGAAAGACTTACGACTAATAGATATAACAGAGGCAACTTGAGCAGTACTCTTTGCTGGTAAAAGAAGCTGCAGCACAATACATTATGTAAACAGTTTGTTATCTGGAAGGCAGTTTAGGTAAATAAAACCAGTTGATACTGATGAAGTGAACTCAGGCGAGAAAGAGTTTTAACTAACTGAACGCCAAGATAATGATTTCAAAGGGCTCCTCAATCCTTTACCGCCTATAAACCGTTCAGAACTATCAGTGATCACCAACCTCTGATTAGAGCAGAAGCCAAGAATTTTTATACGGGCTGAGAATACAGCTTAATCTGATGGAGTACCTTCATAGAAAATAAAGTTTGGAAACACTGACTTCATAAAGCTCAAAAGAAAGATGACTGCAGTGTATGCAATAGGTGGCTTGGTACCACCTGTAAAACCACCTGTAAATGAAATACCCTGTGTAATTCTGTAACATGTACACGAGACCCGTGTTAAAAAGAAGCGCAAATAATTAATGAGGATGATTCATTGTCACGAAAACTGTATATTCCAAACTTTTGGGTTACTCAGAGTCATAAATATACATAACATTCACTTTCTGACTTATTGTCGACAAAGAGAAGTTGACGATCATACTAGAAACTATACTTGAAGTTTTCTGCAAATAATGAAAGAATGTGGTAAACATTTAATTTTCATCAAGAACAATCAATTCGTTCATTTTGAATATTATACGAACAGCATTAGTCTGCTCTCTTTTATGAATACTTATTCTCCATGTCATCATATGAAAGAACACAAAATACATGCTGGCTTTGTTAATTGTTCATATTCAGCATGAATAAGCAATGCCAACTTAAATCAGTCAAAATCAATAGCTCCGTATCAAGAAAGCTGACCTTAAAATGTGTTAACGCCACTTTTAGCACAATTCTAGGAATCAATTCAACGCTAATCCTGAGACAAAAATGTCACTGGCTTCTCTAATTACCCGCTGTCCAGTGTAAAGAGTGAAAGTGAACGACACCTGACACACCAGCCTTGATAGTTATTTCTTATAAATTTAACTTAATTAAGTTCAACAATAATTTGTGCTAAAATCTTTACTGTAAACGTTGCTAAATTGCCTATTGTGTGAAATCTATGAGTCTTTTGACTTGTAGAGGAAGAGATGAAGCTTAAAATAAGTATAATGATGTCGGCTGTTTAAAAAGAAAGTTAAAACGAAATTACGATGAGAGAAGTGGAATATTAATGGAAGGTTATTATATTTTGACATAGCTGCACTAATGTTCACCTAACAAATATATTCAGCGCGAACCCAATTTGTGTTGCTTATAAAGTGTTCCAATGTGTGGTTACAGCTTAACAATGAATTTTATCTTCAAGTGGGGGCGTAGCAATGGGCTCCCCTCTAGGTCCTCTCCTAGCCGATATCTTTCTGCCAAAATTAGTGAATCAACCACCTAAGAATGTAATCAACTAACTTTCGATATTTGGACGATACTTTTCTCTTGCATAATAATAAAATAGATGTTAAAGTCATTATCCTCAAATTCAATATGCCTCCAACCTTCTAGACGATGAAATAAGGAAAATGGAAAGTTCCTAATACAAGAATGGATACCTTGAAAAATGTGTCGAAGTATCAATGATGAGAACAGATATGAAGAAATGCTTGCAAAACTGTGAAGAACAAGCGCATAAACATGGATTTACCGCTTAAAAGACAGGCAGCAAATTAACTTCTGGCATCGAAACTATGATAGAAAATATAAAAAAACATTCGCTGCTGCGAAATCATTTTTAAAATTCACCGCTCACTGTACAATTCCTACGCACTTGTAGAATAAGCTCTCAACTCTGGCCACTGAAATGTCGCATTTATAAATTTAACTGTCGATGTGGAGAAATTTACATGAGTAGAACGACTCGGCAGGTTCACCGTCACCTTCTGAAGCGTTCTACAGCGTGGTTAGTTAAGCCATGATTCCCATAGTGTCTTCCTTAGTGGATACCGACAACAAGATTGACAAAATTCACCTTCTACAATTGTATACAGGATACCACATCAACTTCCTTGGTTGGCACGTCTTAAATTGCTATGCAAAGGTAAGGCAGTAGCAATGAATATTTTTGAACCCAACCTCTGCATCCGGAGGAATTTTGTTCAATCTCTCTCCCTCGCTTGCTCTTATCTTCAGACATGAAATCTTTATCTCTTCCGGTGACACTGGATAACTGCAAATATTATCTTACTATATTTTTATTTTATTTATAATGCAATCTGTATTATCAGTATCATCCTAGGCTAAACTTTTACATTTTATTCCCGGTTTCAAAATTTATCGTGATTATTATATCACCTAATCGCAATGTGATAGCAGTTATTTCCGCCTCTACCCCTATTAGTATGCACAATCCAGTACTCAATGTTACGCAGATTATATAAACACGAATAAATTTATCCTTGTTATTATTATTATCACCTAGACTGTGATTCACTAATACAAATCTCTGAACTGTGATACTGTATTTTATTAACCACATTAATTCAACTGCCTATGACGAATATTTCATTATATAAATGTGAAGCCTGATGAGAATTTACCGTAAATATGTATTTCCTGAAATCGTGTTCCGCCATTATCATTATGAGAATTTCTAAATAGAGAATCATCAATATCATAATTAACTATAAGAGGGAATCTTTCATCTCAATGAATGATATGCTACTTACGGGGGAATTAGAAATTCTCAATGTAATCAACGCAGTGATGGTTAGTATTGCTAATCCTCCAGCCGAGTCCAGTGTTATGATGTTTACCATCTCACTTCTATTCTACATTTTGCATCCAATAATGCGTGCCTCCACAGACACTGTTATCACCAGAAAGCAGGCTAATAGGGTCCATCATTCCAAAGGATTCGTCAGAGTAGGTAATCCGAAGAACTCTAATTTAGTATGCAATTTGTGAAGAATATTTTTTAATTGTGAAATAATGACGATTTCGCCTGAGATGGATTTGCACTGTTAAGTGCAAAGAGCGAATGCCATGGAAGCATGTAACTCTGAAAAGGTCGTATTTCCTAGCAAAATAATTATTATAATAAAAAGAAATATATGAAGACATCAGAGAGAAAACCTAAGACTTTGACTGCACGTAAAAAGCCTCTATTTATGAAGTTAAAATTAAATGGTGACTTATCTAGTAAGACATTGTTCCAGAGACTTTCCAGGAGTATACGGAGAACATTTTACGCAGCATACTTATGTTTGTCATTCTCCAGGCGACGAATGAATGGCACGCAAACGAAGGATAAGGTAGATAGCTTTGACACATCTATGTGCATTTATCAATTCAACTGCATCTGCGGCGACAGTTATGTTGGGCGTACTACTAGACAGCTTAGCAAGTGTGCTAGTGAACATCTCCTATCGTGGTTTGGCAAAAGACGGACAATAACAATCCTTAGCTCAATTCTGTCACATTTAATTGATAGTGGTCATGTAATGGACAAAACGAAAGCTTTCAAAGTAATTCATCATCTTGCACCGAATCTTTCCAATAGACTTCGTTTTTGTCTACTGTGCACAGCTGAGGCTATAAGCATTCGAACTATTAAACCTAAACTATGCATTCAAAAGAAGTCCGTGCAGCCATTATCCCTCCATTGTTGGCCTATGAAGAAGTAATCAACTAAAGACTTCAACATCACCCCTTGTTTATATTTTCAACCCCTTTCTCATCATCCTTTAATCTTATCACATCATTGTAAATGTGTCTCATTTACTTCTCTTACAATTAGTCTAGCATTACGTACTAGCCTTTATCGACTACTTCCACCTGAACAATTGTTTATTTAATCATGCTGTTTTTCATTATTCGTGTTATCACAGATTGACTCGCCTTTTTCATCCTTATTATTGATATAACCGTTATTATTATTAATATTATTATCATTACTACTATTATGATTAATTGGACAATTTATATTCACCATCTTATTATTCTATAGACAGAACACCATGAATGGTATATATATGAATTTCATTTGTAAATCTATGTATATTAGAGTTATGCCTGATGAGATCTAATTCAAAGCAACAAATCTGTTCGTTTAAATTTGTAGTTCTAAATATTATAATTGCGACCGATATCTTTTAACTCATGATATCATTAAACCGTTATTTTCGAAAGCATGGTAGAGGTAAAATGATGCAGAAAACCTAGTCAAACACAAGAGAAGGCCTTCATCACTCAGTGAATCAAAGAAACCTTAGAAATCAATTCCTCGACACACGCTTGTATAAAACTTAATCATCTACCACATCCGATCTGCCATAGGGATTCCGGGTGTGGTGAGAGCAGGCTGCTAGCCGATTGGTTGGCACTAATCTACGTTAAGGTCTAGGTCACTAATATGGGCCGTGAGAAAATATGAACAAGCCTGAGTCAACAACCAATCACAGCAAAGTTAACGTGGCAAAATATGATTCGCAGAGAGAACTCTATTTGTCAAGGAACCCCGAAACAACCAATCAGAAGCCTGCGTTTGTCTACCTAAACAACCAATCAGATGACTGCGCTTGTCTATAATAATGTAGTTGAAAGATGTATAAATACGTGTTGATTTTCATAATAAAACGATCTGTTGCCTGGCCCTTGTCTTCTGTTGTTACATTTGGTGTCGCTGCCTACCGACAAATGAAAAGCCTATACCCTGCAGTTTTTGATGGAGACATATGGATCTTCGGGCAGGACTTCAAGGCTTCTGCGCAGTTGAGTGGCGTTCAAGATCTGTCAGCGATGGAGCTGCTACTTGAGACGCTGCTGGGAGGTCGGGCGAAAGCAGCATATGAAGGTGTGGGCCGAAGTATGGACGAATGTTCGACAGGGTCAGGCAAACAGTTTCCAAAGTGGGAAGGACCATATATGGTCACTTCGAGATGGGGTTACGCAGACACAGTCGCAATGGCGAACAATGAGAGGCGCGTGAACGTCAGCGAGCTCCAGAAATGGATACAGTGAGACAAGCCAACGATGACGCCTGCACCAAGTAGATCAAGCCGACTTCAGTCGCACGTATTTGACGGGGGGACGAGTGTGGTGAGAGCAGGCTGCTAGCCGATTGGTTGGCACTAATCTACGTTAAGGTCTAGGTCACTAATATGGGCCGTGAGAAAATATGAACAAGCCTGAGTCAACAACCAATCACAGCAAAGTTAACGTGGCAAAATATGATTCGCAGAGAGAACTCTATTTGTCAAGGAACCCCGAAACAACCAATCAGAAGCCTGCGTTTGTCTACCTAAACAACCAATCAGATGACTGCGCTTGTCTATAATAATGTAGTTGAAAGATGTATAAATACGTGTTGATTTTCATAATAAAACGATCTGTTGCCTGGCCCTTGTCTTCTGTTGTTACATTTGGTGTCGCTGCCTACCGACAAATGAAAAGCCTATACCCTGCAGTTTTTGATGGAGACATATGGATCTTCGGGCAGGACTTCAAGGCTTCTGCGCAGTTGAGTGGCGTTCAAGATCTGTCAGCGATGGAGCTGCTACTTGAGACGCTGCTGGGAGGTCGGGCGAAAGCAGCATATGAAGGTGTGGGCCGAAGTATGGACGAATGTTCGACAGGGTCAGGCAAACAGTTTCCAAAGTGGGAAGGACCATATATGGTCACTTCGAGATGGGGTTACGCAGACACAGTCGCAATGGCGAACAATGAGAGGCGCGTGAACGTCAGCGAGCTCCAGAAATGGATACAGTGAGACAAGCCAACGATGACGCCTGCACCAAGTAGATCAAGCCGACTTCAGTCGCACGTATTTGACGGGGGGACGAGTGTGGTGAGAGCAGGCTGCTAGCCGATTGGTTGGCACTAATCTACGTTAAGGTCTAGGTCACTAATATGGGCCGTGAGAAAATATGAACAAGCCTGAGTCAACAACCAATCACAGCAAAGTTAACGTGGCAAAATATGATTCGCAGAGAGAACTCTATTTGTCAAGGAACCCCGAAACAACCAATCAGAAGCCTGCGTTTGTCTACCTAAACAACCAATCAGATGACTGCGCTTGTCTATAATAATGTAGTTGAAAGATGTATAAATACGTGTTGATTTTCATAATAAAACGATCTGTTGCCTGGCCCTTGTCTTCTGTTGTTACACGGGTAACTACGTCCCCTAAAATATCCTCAATTGGGAAATTTCGTGGTGTTACTCATAAACATAATGATGTTTCTGACTCATGTACTAAGTTGGAAAACTCAAACAATGTGCCCGACGAATTTCGCAAGATTCGTATCGCACAATATGTGTTTGAAAGTACATGATACAAATTTGGGCTCGTTGTCAACGTTTAACCTAGACCAAGCGGAATGAAGGCCTAATTATCTGGGGATCTCTCTTGATTGTTTTTAAAGAAATAAACACTAGTGTGCTCATCCGGCAAATTTCACTGAAGAAGACAAGTGAAATTAAAGGACAAATCAAGGGTATCGACTTTCAATGAAGCACGTATGTTATACTTTCAATAGTAAAATCATATGATTACTTTTCGAAGGTATTCGCTTGCAAAGGTAAGTCCAATAATGATATTCTGTGACTGCAGTCCTTTGAAAGTTTTTACATACCTTTGATTCTTTGCTCATGTTTACTTCTCAAGTTGTCCAGAACAAAATCACTCAGAGTGATTATCAGTCTGAATGGAATAAAGTTTTGGATCAACTTGTGCAAAAAAATGTATATCATTTAAAAATGTTGATATGACAGAATTTATGAGAAATCTAGAAATTGCCAGGGGCTTTATTTTACAAAGGCGAGTTTGCATACCAGTGGTGACTAGGAATATCAGGCTTTGACTACAATCAATTCTTCTGATTCACTGGATGAAGGAGTATGGCGCGTATCTCAGGTGGACCATCCAAATCCAATAAAATGAAGTGCTTAAAGTGAAACTCTCCGATGGTACACATTCTTTTACGAGAATGAGCGTCTAGGTTGAAACATTCCAACCGCCCATCATGAAATAAGCGTTGATGTTCCTGCCAATAGTATGCCTCATACCAAACGAACAACAGAAACCAGTATCTTTCTATCTCATTGGTACTCATTGACTTTATCAACGAAACTTAATGAGAGAATGCATGCAAGAATATGGTATCGACCGCAATAATACCGCCCAAATATTTCATACCTGTGAGGTTCTGGTTAAGCGATAATAACCCACCTTTAAACTATGCTGCAATCCAGCTAGCAATTTTGCAATAATCAATATCATCGTTTTGTTTAATTTTTCGGAATTACCCTTGACAACTATTCGTGAGCATTTTCCAGATTTATTATTCGATCAATCCCCATTACTTTCTAGTATCCCTAAAGAGGTGTAGACGAGATCTGGATATTATGTTCACTAAAACCGTGACAACTATTCAAAAGAAACTTGAGGCGAATTACCCAACCTCATAAGCGACTTGTTTGCGATGGATCTCTCATACATTACTTGCAGAAACTGTTATATCGCAACCCGCCACCTTTTATCCTTTGAAACTTCAAACTTCCAAGTTACACAAAAGATGATGTTGGGAAGGAAAAGTCATGTAAGTAATATATGTATTGTAGGAATGGGGCTGAAGCCATCAAATGGTCTCTATTTGGTGAGGAGGGTAAGTTCAATTTAAAAATAATCAATCGTTAGTTATATCTCGTGAAAGTCCACTTGAATAACTATTACTGAAACTCTCATATCGACCATAAAAATCAAACAAATTGAATGTGATTCTGTGTCACGATCAAGGTTCAAGTATTCTTAACAAAAAACACAAACCAAAATATTCACGAACCAACACTATATAAATGTTCATTGATTCGTTTATTCATTAGAATACGAAGATTAAAAGAGAAATAAGTGAGTTGTGCGCGACAGTTTTAATGTCAGTTTCAGTGTTTTAGTGAGTGAAATTCGCATCTTCGAAATGTTGATTCATACTGCTTATTATATACTTGTGTAGATATGTGTGGGATAACTTCAGTGTTTATCTATTCAGGTTTTCGCAGTGATGCCGCGTGGTGTCTCTCAACTGAGGGCGACAATCAAAGTTAGGATTTCGTACGTAGTTTCATCCTTTCACTTTCTTAATGCCTAATTTGGTTTTGGTATGTCTGCCGTTATTCTGAATCCTTCCAGCTTGTCCTTGATAGGCCTTAGAACCGAAAAATGATCTGCATCCTAATATACACGCATTTTGAATCTGTATCAAGCATACTGCGTCTTCATACCATTCAGGTTATTCGTATCTGTTTTTGGTGTGTCTGTCAGATGATATTTATGTCGTCTTGTATATATCATTTCGCTTGTGCGCACTACTTCCAGTCAGCAAATAACTGAAAGCTCAGAATTCCCTGAAGCGTTCTACATTGTCATTCATTTCTCTGAACTCTTCTTTATCTATGGCTTGGCATTTATATCCCGTTCTAAGATTATAATATCTCCATTTGAATGTCATCATTTTCTGTTTGTTGTCGTTTCCCTTCTTCGTCTGTTACCAGTCGTAGTAAAACTGTAGGACTGAATAATTGTAACCTTCCTTCGTTTATGTCGAATGTTGCTGTTGTAATTCTGGAGGAGATTGGTCTCCAGTGCATTGAATCTTTGTATAGTATTGTTGAAGCCATTATAGCCACACAATCAGTATGCCCGTGGTTTTGATCTGAGTGACCAGAGTAGAATTTCCAACTGATAATACCAGATACTCAAGCTAATCCCTCAACCAACACTGAAAGCAAATAAAAGTGATAGATATTAGACAATAAAGGCGCATAGATCAGCAAAGGATTGCCAATTGGAAACAGAATATTATTTTTACAATGATTATATTTTCGAAGTACTTTGCTTTCTTCATAATTTTATAGATCACAAAATGTCGAACCAAACTGTGCAATTCCCCCGTTTGAAAAATTCAAGTCTAGGTTTCAGGCCAGGCAGCCTTTTCCACTTCTTCATATGGGTGAGACGTTGCCGTCTTTAGCTAAACATGCCTCACACAGATGATAATCGACACACTGTTGATGCTTCTAGTGACAACGACCATGGTTGTAATGGTGAACACAGTGTAAGACCGAATTTCCTCATCACCTTGATAGACTAATTCAACCCTTTGTACAGTGCCGGACTTTCTGAATGGGTTAAAAAATACAGCTGGCTGACAGTTCTCCTTATGTGAGTCACTTTTATAATGTTTCTATCAAATATGTCTATGTGGGTTCAGTGCATTTTGTTAGCTTTACATCGTAGGTTCTATGGCTAACCAGTCCTCCAGCAATGGATTCTATGAATAAGACTTTCTGGCAGACATTGTTTTTTCGTTGAAATGACATTATTTACCTCTCTGCATAATAAATAAAGGAAGTATTAGATACAAAGAATATGGAAATATTGTGAAATTCATTGATATGGTTAAATCCGCGTTCACCTGTATGTGGTCGGATATCTATTTACGTTCATGATATTGCAACAACGTCACACTATTTGACTTCTGTTTAATATATTCTGAAAATATGAAAGACTCCTGTGGACATGAATGCTGGGGCAACACCCCACGAGTATATACCCCTTCTTAACAATGTTATCCTAAATTTTAAAGAGGACACTTTAGACACAACGCTAATTAATCCGTTTACGAAAATTAATCATTTCAGACTAATTGGAGCACTTCCAGTCCTGGTCCTCGCATTGCTTAAACTACTCGGATATCACCGCGACATTGATCACTTTCTCATAGTATTCAGTGTAAGTATTTCAATTCTTCGATTTTACTTATATTAATGGGTTACACACAAAAGTTATATTCCTGTCACTCATGTCATTTCATAATAATTTTTTTATTAGATACATCACAAATTGAAACAATAAAATCTACTGCATCACGTGTCGAACACAACTCATAGTACATAATCAGATTACTCCTATTACATGCATCATCATTTGATTTAATATACACAGCTTCAATTATCTATCTCTAAGTTCGCCCTGTTATGTTCCATTCCTAGAATATCATCTTAACAAGCACACTGTTAGATTTTGTGTGTAATCGCGGGTAGCACAATAGTTGAACGTATTGTGAATTCCGTGTCTTATTCAAGTCCTCTAGGCTAGGTTTCGCCAAGTCTGTTTGCTCCGATCGCATCACTGACCTCGTTCTCTTCTGTTGAACTATGTATGTGATT